TCTTAAACTGACGCTGGGCACGTGTGCATGCGTGCCCAAGATCCTGAGAGGAGAAAGAAGGAGAAGAGATTGCAGTGTGGCCATCCCCCCCCCGGGGGGGGGTGATTTCTTGTTTTCTGCCTCTTTGTCTCTCTTTCTAGCAAGCGCACAAACCATATAGCAAAAATCTCTCAAAAAAAAAAAAAGTTGGATAGGGCACTATAAGCTGATTCATAAAAGGAGAAACTATCCAATATAACATTTAACTGCAAGAGTGTTAAGCTTGTAAAAAGAAAATAAGTAAGGAAAGGAGGGGCTGGAGAAAAGGAGGAAAGAAAAAAAGAAGGGAAGAAGGAAAGTAAAAAAACGTTATTCTAAGCAGTTTGTATGGTACCCGACTGTTGGTAAGTCTAGATCAGCAAGAAAGGAAATACATCTCAGCCTCAGACAGTGAATGTGGACAAATGGGATTCTGGAGGCTAACCAACATTTTTTCTTGCCATTGTCTGCAAATGTGTCCTAGATAGCTTTCTGTCTTGGAAATTGAGTATTTTGAATATCCTTCTCCACCTTTTTTTTCTTTCAATGACAAATACTCTGGCTTTGTTAACATAGCCCCACTCTTTTATAAAAGTAAAACAAACTGAAATATGCTAATTGCCCTTTGCCACTTTGTAGGCTTTATTCTAAGACACAGTGCCTATAAATAGACATGATACCAGAAATGCACACATACACACAACACCGCACCAAATGTACAATGGTGCATTTACAGTCTCTTCTACAAATAGACGAAGATTACAGGTTCTTAAAGTGAATGAAAGACTCCAGCAAAAATTGTGTGAACTCAGAAAAATGAGTGAAGCATAAAATATACTGTATGGCAATAGGAATAGGTATTTACTCAGTAACAGTGACAACAAAGTTAAACACAAGGAAATTAGAGCTTTGTAGATTGGGTAACAAGGAACCATAACATGCCCTGGTCTTGGTCCCTTCAGAGTTTCTTAGAAGAAACTGCTCACTACATAGGCAAATACATGAATTTGGCAGTTGGCTATTTATTCATCAAGATGTACTTCACTTTTATGAAAGTGAGCTCTTATTTTTCTGAAGTCTCCAAGGCATGAACAAAAGGAGACATATCTGTGGAGAAAGAATAACTTTTCTACTCCAAAAACAAATTGTGCCTACTAGGAAAAGAAAAAAAAGTAGAGAACTTTAAAAAAGAATTAAATGAGCTTTCCTGCACTGTTATAAAGCCCAAGGACAATTCTGATTTGATACCTTAACATTACATGGAATTTACTCCAGTGCTTTCTCTAAGGTTCAGCAAAATCAAGCAAGAGAATATTCTTCTATTTCTGAGGCTAGGGACTATTTTCAGAGCCCCGTACATGTATAATACTTTCAAAGTTCTCCACTTCTTACTGGATAATATAAGCAGATTCTAAACAAATTAACTGAGATTTGCTGGACATGTAGGGCTTTTATCTACCTTCTGGAGGTTTGTGTAGGCTTAAAGAGCAAGTGCAAAGCAGAGATGAGTATGAAACCAAAGGGTCATATTTCACTAGTCAGTGTTGACGGATTATTTCTCTAACCTAGGCAGCTAACCTGGTTAAGAAGGAGGACACTTTAGTTCTGGAGATAAGTAAATAACAGGGCCTGCCAGTATCATCAGGCAACCTCCTTCACTCAATAGCTCTTGAGATATAAATGGTTTGATCATTTTCAATAACAAAGAGGAAGAAAGAAACTCACCTTTTTATTCTTTGGATTAGTCTTAGAATTTCATGATTATAGACATGACCTAGTCTTAGTAACGAATGCTGAGAATGGGACATCTAGACTGATAACTGAAATATGTTCCTTCCATTATGTCAGTATTTCTACATTTCAGGGTGGGGATTTTTCTAATCCTGAATAGAATTGACGGCAATTGGTGCCATTTCTTTTCATGAATAAGCACTTCTAGTAAATCACTTATGAATTTTTCCAGCTATTACTGTGTCATTTAAAAAACTATAGTTGAAAAAGTACCAGAGAAGGAGACATGAGATAAAAAATTTGAGTCTTAGGAACCAAACAATGGTGTAATAGTAAAACACCACATTATTCAAGGCTGACACACATGGGGAGGTTCTGGATTTGTGTACAGAGACTTCCCTGAGTTTGCTGGGCATGCATGTGTGCCTATCGTTCAGGGCTGTCTGAAGTTGAACGTGGATCATAGCATCAAGACCCTGTTGGGAGTACTGTCTCTGAATTTCTCTCTTACTATGAAAGAAAGAAATCAGTAAACTTAAAAATATAATTTAGTCTCAGTACTGTCATTAGTTCGTTTCATAGTCATGGGCAAGTCATCTTACCTTTGCAAATCTGTTTCTTCAGGTCCAAGTTGCAGGGGTTGGAGTGACTGGACTTTAAAGTTCCTTTATACTCTGAATGTCTACACTAATTACAAGGGCTTGCACTGTCTCTTCTGTCACTGGATTTATGTACACTACTAAAATGATGAGGCCTTCCTTTCAAATATGCAGTGAAAAAAATTTTTTTTTCTTTTCTGGTCCTGGGTGTGTAAATATATTTTTGTGCTAAGATATGACAACAATTGACATTAGACAATGAGTTTATTCTTTGTATTTGACATGACATATGAAATGCTAGGATGTGTATGTTGTTAAAAAATATGCATTAGGGGCAGCCCTGTAGTGCAGCATAGAGAATTGTATCCCACATGGCTGACTGTGGTTCCAACCCCAGCTTGAAAAACACTCCAGGAGCATGTGTACACATGCCCCAAATTCTGATGGGGTGGAGAAATGGAGGAAAAAGCATTATTGCATGACCACAGCCCATTGGGAGGTGCTTACTTCCTCACCCTCTGTCTCTTTCTCTGGTGAAGCAGGTATCTTTTGTGAATAAAAGAAAAATGTGCAATCTGGTTATATACTTTTTTGTTTATCAAAACTAAACTGAGCTTATAATTAACATCCAATTAACACCACCAGGTAAGTAATTTCGGTGTTGTCCTTTTTTCTAAGGAAGTAATGAGTGCTTCTCTTCTGAGGACTTTATGTTTCTTGGAAGGTCAGCTGGTCCCCCATTCACTCTTGCTCCCATCTCAGCTGATTATGCCAAATCCTCAAAGAGCAATCCCCTTATATAATTTTCTTTTTCCACAATGGTCACAGTTCTCTAGCTATATAATAAAAATCATGCAAATCTGAGTTTTGCTTATGCTTAAGACTGGCTTATTTGAATAGGCGGACCAATGTTCATTTATTTCAGCATGAATGAAGCCTGATGCAATGTTTTTCAATGTGACTTTAGCTAAGCTGCAATCGACAGAGCCTTACAATATAGATTGCTATACTTACAAGTCTGATTTGTAACAACTGTGGCATCTAATTGTGTTCTCAGTTCTAGATTTAGCAGCTTCTCTAGCTTCATTCTTTGGCCAGCTATTAAATATGATTTCATGCACCCTAAGCAATCAGTATGTTTAATTTGGATTTTGGCTTTTTTCATTACAGTTCAAAATGTGACCTAACAAATTTCAGCTGAAGTCTAAACTAGGATTTGTATGTGTGTGTGTGTGTATGTGTGTGATTCACATACGTCAGTGAAGATATAAGATTACATATATATTTTTATATATAGTTATAAATATATATGTATGTATATACACACATATATCCATTCACACAAACACAAATGGACTCTGTGCATATATACCAACATTCCTCAAAATTCTCCCGAATTGCCTTTGCTTTGATAGCTTTCATAGTAATGTAAAATCACATATTCTAAAATTTTCTTATTCACATTGCCACTATAACAATGTAAATCGTTACTACTTGCCACTAGGTTAACTTAGAAAGGATTCAAACATTTATTTTAAAATCCTTCTTAAATTTACTTGCCATTTCTCTGATTCTGCAAAACTGAAAATATTTACTGAATTATTTTTAGCTTACATAGTTTTATGCTGATTTCAGAAAATTGTGGCCATTTTCCATAGTATATTTGCCCAGGGCCTTGGATGCTATTGAAATAGTTTTATTTTTTACAGGTATTTATTAAATTTGGGGAAACATACACATCTGAGATGAGTGAGTTCAGTGAAATTTTCCAGTGTTTAAATGCTGGATGAAATCTCAGTTCATCAGAACCAGTGTGTAATTGACCAAAATTTGCACGACAAAGTGCTCTCCTTGAATTGTTCCTTTGGCATGCTCTTCTCTATAGGTAAATCTTAGAATTTTTTTTTCCACAATGGTAGGTAAGCTAATTAAAGTACCTGCCATTCTTGTGACCCTATCCCTCTATCCCCACCCCCACCCCCACCCCCATATAAACACATCATGTCTCTTTGGTAGGGTGGGTTAAAGCATGTCCTGCTTCAGACCCCTGGACACACTTTCTCTCAGCAAACTTTCCTTTTCCTCTTGAAAAAAGAAAAAGAAGAAAAAAATTGTTTTCTATATGGTAGAAATTAGACTCTATTTCCACCAGAATCAGGAAGTCAGAATACCAAAGAATAGGAAATGGAAACAGAAAATTAAGACTACATAATAAAACAAATCAAGAGATTCTATCAAAATGCTGAGCACACTTGAAATCAGTCAACTTGGTCTCCAAATCAAAAACCATGTGTTTTTCATTTGCTACTTTTAGGTGAAAAAAAAGACACAAAAGACAACAATAATAAAAAATGTAGAGTAACAGTTTAATTGGAAAAAAAAAAAGTGAGAAGAAGGGAGGGCAGGGCAGGAAAAAGCCCATCCTCACCTGCCTAAGAAAACAATTATGGTATAAATCTGGAATCTATCCTTTCCACATGCTCTTACTGCCATGGAGTGAGGAACCCAGGGTATTATAAAAGTCCCTTATCAGAGAAAGCTATAGTGAGGCTGGAAAGCAAGCAAGTTTTCAAAAGCTTCTCATTAGTTAGGGCCATTTTCTAGAAAATAGATAAATTGGGATGTGTCATTCCCCAAAGCATTCTGCTTAATCAAGGATTCCTTTTCATTTAAAAATGGAGCTTACATATTGCAACAAGGGCAAAAACAGTCTGTATTTCAATTTTAATATTTGTATCTATTTATTTTTCTTTGAGTGGGCATGTATTTCTATCCATCATTAGCTCCAAAAAGTTAACTTTCATAGAACTAAAAATCATATAAAGAAACAACAAAAGATAACTCTCTCCAGCGATGGAACTGGTACTTGGTAATTTGTTATGGTTGTGAGTATTGGGGCATTAAAATGGCAGAATTATGCAGGAAAGAAGCTTTTACCCAAGATGGCACATTTTAACAATAACTCATGGCTTTTTGTTAGAGACCTACAGAGTGCTCCTGAGACTAAACACATCACCGTTTCCAGCCTCCAAAACATTTTGTATGTTGAGTCTGGCTTTTACCTTTTGAATAATGTTACAAGGATGTTTCTGGACTCTTGGCAACTCTTTTAGCAAATCAACCCTCTAATATTGAATGAGCAGTAAGTATATGTAGAACAAAGTCTTCTCAAGCCAGGGACAGGAAACTATATACTTCTTTTGCTTTCTTTTCTTCCTGTCTCAGCTTTCTTGTCTTTTTCCCAAGTAAGTAGTAGAACATTGTTTTTTTATTTTTTTAATTTATTTATTTTTTAATCAAAAGTACTGAAGCTCACAGGGATCTTAATCTATGGCCAAGATCATCCTTGTGAAGCTTTTTGTATACTCTAGATATAACATATTGTATTTGGCACTGAAATAAATTGGTTGCTATGCTACATAAATGCTATTCTATACAAATATTAGCAAGAAGAACAATCTGGAATATATCAGAACAATGAACAAATTACAGGTCATCGGCTAAAGAGATGGCAGAATGTGTGGGCAATAGCCCAATGAGGTGTTCATGGAATAGCAAAGCACAATGGACATTAAGGTCATTATTATTGTTATTCGGGCATAACAACTGGTACACTACTAGAGGAAAAATAAACCCCAAGAAGGCAAAAACTCTGGTCAGATTTAATAAAGGAACCATTTCCTCTCCACGTCTAACAGTTTGACACTTGGCAATGATAATGTAATGTATGGAGAGACATATCTTGGGCCTAGAAAATAGAAATTTGAATATATAAATATATATCATGAAGTATGATAAGATATAAATTGATGCAAAAAATACGCTTTGCTTTCCCTGTTTCATGATTTTAAAAAGCATATTGTTTTGTGTTGTTGGATGTCTAAGTAGAGTTAGTAAACCCTTTGGTTATGTTTTAGGAATGTTTCACAGTATATGTTATTACAGTGTTGAAGTTGGTTTCTTATATGTTAAATAGCCTTCTGAAATACTTAGGACTTAACCAAAAATAACATGTTTAGTTATATTATTTTGGGTAGTAAGAAAAGGATAGGAAGAGTGGAAATTCATCAAGATTTGCTATTTGGCCCATTTTGAATTAAGTGCTTGAGATAGTCAAATACTCCTTATGTGTACGATTACTGTAATATCGTCATTGTTGTTAAGGTAATGGACCGAGGCTTCAGCTGTAGGAAGTCCTGAAGAGATGGTATATCATATCAGGAAGAAATACCTTCCCTCTCCCAGCTAACTACTAACTGTAGTAAGATTCTTGCACCCCGATAGCATTTCCTGGGTCAGTGTTTGACGATCAACCATTTTTCCAGATAATGGACCTGCTCAGGTTCGAAAGACCATGGAGTCAGTACCCTCACTTCATAAAGCCAAATCCCATGACTTTTTGAAATTACTCACTGTTTAAAAACTCTGGGCAGCTATCCTGAAAGATAATTTTCCCATTTCTTAGGTCACAGTTGTCATGTCACTGGCCTTCGCTTCAATTCCAGTTAAATAATAAAGTGCAGTATGTAGTGTTGAACCTTCAGAAAGAATGTAATGAACACAACCACCCTTCACAGAATCCTGAGTTCAGATTACTAGCAGATCACCATCCATATCTGAGAATGCATGGGAACTTGATCATCATTGTTGTCTTTGTCATCATCATCTTATCATCAGCATCACAGTTGCAGTGTCATGATCATATCAAGTGGTAAGGCAAGGTCAAAAAACCAATTATCAAGATACTGTCCAGTTTGGGTGTGTAAATATTATCTTGTGTTTCTTGGCCCATTGTGCAAACACTTTTTTTTCAGTGATAAATCTATGCCCCCCATATGGGGCATGTTCATGAAGAAAATATTCATCACACTCATCTCTTCCTTGTTCATAATAATGGTAGGGGAATTTTCTATATCCTTCTGTCCTAGGAAAAGAAAATGAGAGAAAGATTGAGATGAAGAATGACGCATTCAATAGCAAGAATCCATTATGTGTTCAGTAAATGCATTTACTTGAAAACCCATACATGATTCTTGTCCATAAACTCAGTTAAAAGCTATTATGTATGAAAGCTTTTAGTAAGATGTACCAGGTTCTTAGTGCTCTAATAGATCAAATAAAATTTATATGTCACACCAATTACATTCGAACATATGGCTTTCCTTTGAAGGGGGAAATGGTGTATAATGGAATCAAACTTTGGATAGCTTAATGCTCTTGTGGAACCTGAAAAACTTTGTGATTTTTTTGTTTTGTTTTGTTTTAAGATACTGGGTTCATCTGTGTTCCATTATGCTTCTAATTAGGGTAGAAATCTTCATGAAGATTGTGGCTGAGAGTTACCATTTTGACAACTTGATTAAAACAGTCTCTGAATTGTATTGTGCCAATAGTTGGTAGGAAAATATATTTCATTACCCTGATGAAGCATGGAGGGTTTGTTTTATTATCTAATTAGAAACTATCCAACTGGCGAGATTATACCGAGGATAAACATACTCATTTTAAATAAGGATCTGGCAGATTACTCACTTACTAGTAAAATGTAATTTCCATGAATTTGTGTTCAATTGTCAGTTTCTCTAAGTTGATGCTTCTCTAAGGTTTCAGGACATTTTGTCCTTCATGATCAAATATAGCCATTGAGTAGATAGCCATCAAGCAATTAGAACAGCAGTTTTTTTAACACACTTGCTTTTGCAAATTAAATAACCAGTAAACCTATTCTGTATTTCCAAATCACAAGTCCCTGATATGCCACTGATTAAGGAAACAGTGTTCCTTCTGACATTTGACATTAGGCTGTGGTAAATATTTTTCTTTTATCACTCCTAAAAGTCACAACTTGATGCACTGACAATAAAATGTCATATCAGCAAAGAACACCGGGAAATAATTGTTGCTTTATCTGCTCCTCAGATTTATGGCATTAAAATGAATTGTGATATTTTGACAAGATATCAGAATTGCAACTGCATAAAAATAATTTCCTGTGATCTTACTTGCAGTAGGTGTCGTTTATCATCCCGTAGACATGAATGCTGTAACAGGCATCCATGGCCAGAATGAAGGTAAACCACCCCGTGCTGAGATAAGAGCCGGACTGGACTCTGTGGGGGAACAACAACAAACAACAAACGACACAGAACACAAAACATACACAGAGCAACAATAAAGAGTGTGAGAAATGAGCAAACATTGTATCAAAAGCAGCACTTGTTATCGGGAAAAAGCATTACGAAACTTGACAATCTGTCAAAGATACACACTTATTTTGAATTATCTCTGAATAATTTATAGGCATGCTCTTGCTCTGACTACCTTAAGCCTCAAAGCTATGTTGTCTGGAAAAGAAGCCATATGGCAACTATCTGAAGTCAAATAATCCAGCTCCCTTCAGGTGAAAAATAATTTATTTAATTTTCCATAAGACACAAATTAGTGCTGTATATCACAGGACAGATTTTCTAAAAGTTGCTTGGAGCCCTATTGGGAACTGAATGATAATGGTGTTATCTTGGTTACCTGGACATATTACTTTCTCGAAGGCTTCTTGGGTTTCTAAGTAGAAACTGAATGCAGTGTTGGTGAATGATTTGGTTTATGAAAGTATCTGGAAGTTTTTCTTAACTGCTTTTCAGGCATCATGAGACAAAACTTCTCCTCTGTTAAAAACCTCTTTAAAGCACATTTACTGCACATATATTGTGCACCAATCATTGTTTAGATGTAGGGAATATACAGGCAACAAAACAACCAAAGTTTCTGTTTTCATGGAAGCCAAGGGATTGAATTTGGTGGTGATTGTATTGATCAGGGTAATAATCAGCACAGCAAAAGTCTAGAATAAAAAGGGCTGGGGGAGCAGGCAGGCTGATGTGGGAAGAAGCCATGGGAACCACATGAGGGAAAAGTATTCTGGGAAGAGGAAGCAGGAAGGGCAAAATCACAAATATGGAAGTATGTGTGGTATGTTCAAGGAGGAGCTACTGCAAAGCATAGTGACTGGGCAGAGGGTGTGGGTGGAATTAAAAGTAGTGCTAATCGGACAGGTCTACCACGTGCCAAGTAAATTAAAAAGAATATCCAATGAAAAGCTAAATCTTTGCATTTGTCCTTAGCCAAGGTGATATAATCCATCCAAAACAGATGACTGCCTATTTGCTTAAAATTTCTCCCCACAGGGGGCCAGCAGATGGCAGGAAGGTTAAGGTGGCTGGATCCCACATGGCCAACTACACTGTTGGAGTCTTAGATGCCAGGCATGTGTGTGTGAATGCCTAAAATCCTGAGAAGAAAATGGAGGAGAAGGGATTACAAGCATGGCCATACTCCCTGGGGGGCGATTTCTCACTTTTCCTCTCTTGGTCTTCTTTTCTCTCTCTGGAGAGCTCACGTGCCATATAGCAAACTAAAATAAAACAGAACCAAACAAACAAAAAACCCCAAACATTTCTCCCCATAGTTCCCCATAGGAACATTTGAATCACCCTAAGTTTGGCAGGTATACAGGAGCATACTTAAAAAAAAAAGACTAAATTCCTGTTTTACATCTAGACTTCTTGGTGTAGTATTTATAGGACATAGCCACTTCTTAGTCTTTGTCTTCATCATCATCATCTTCTTCTTCTTCTTTTTTTTTTTGAGAGAGATTTTTACTATAGGGTAGGTGCACTCGCTGAAGAGACAGAAACAGAATATGAGAAATCACCCCTTGGGACGGGCAGGGGATGATCATGTCGCAGTCCCTTCTCCTCCATTCTCCTTCTGTTATCCTGGGCACACAAGCACACATGCCCAGTGTGAATTTCAAGCCACTGGGTCCAGGACTCGAACCGTGATCAACTATGTGGGAGTCCAGCAATGTAACCATTACACCATCTGTTGGTCCTGATAGCCAGTTCTTCACAAATTGAACCTCAGACACTGATAACCATTCTCTGGTACAGCCTACCAGCTGGTAATTGGTACCCACTGATATTCAACATTGTGGATGCACTTGCCCAGGACAACCCATCAGTGTGCTATAATTAAGGAGTCCTGAATCCTTTGGTCCTTCTCTCTTCCTTCTTTCTCATTTTTTTTTTCTGAAGAGATTTTGCTGTAAGGTGCATGTGCTTGCTGGAGAGACAGAGACAGAGAAATAGAAAGCAAGAAATCAACCACCTGGGGAATGGCCATGCAACAATCACTTATCCTCCATTCTCCTCTTGGGATCTTGGACACACATGTAAACACACCCAGTGTGAGTTTTAAGTTGCTGAGTCTAAGACACCAGTCACAGACAACTACGTGAGAGGAGTCCAGCGATGTAACCATCCCACCATCTGCTGGTCCCTTCTCTTTCTCTAAACATGTACTTGCTAGTGTCAAATTAATTACAACATACCATCATTTCAGGAGCAATACAGACTTACAAACTCACAGCTGATGACTGGATTTTGTATCCCTTATTTTCACTGACTTCACGTGATTCTCAAGAAGAGCCCAACTCAACCCATATATGTCCTCTCTGCTTGCTCATTGCTGAGTCTAACATGTTATTATGTAAATATCCACTCATTTGCATCTCCTGGTGCATATCTTCTAAATTGGAAACAATGCAGAAATTGGATGATGTTGAGTTACATCTACTTTCCTCTGTGACAGGAATAGTAGCAACAACAGTGACCAGGAAAAGGTGCTAAATCGGCAGGAAGATGTACCTCCGAGAACTGAGGTCCACTAAAGATTTTAACCTGTGGCTGATCCTGCATTCTGGGTCTGAGGAGGAATAGTGTTGGGAAATGCTGAAAGCATTTGGGAGAGATCAGAAGGGGTGAGTATTTTGACCCCAAATTGAATTAGGAATTTTTGTTATTATTTCTACTAAATTGCACACTCTTTTGTCCTCTTTTTGCTTTGTCATACTACTTTTTTTTTTTTACCTTCAACTGTCTCTATCGTCTCTGTTCCCCATTACTTAACCCTTCTGTAAATTGCTAAAACTTATAGTATTTGCTTTTACATGATTAGAAAAGAACAAGTTTCACTTTTCTTCACATATTTATTCATTTCCCACAAACATTTGTTAGGATCTTGTTATGTTCTACTGTGCTAGATGCTAGGGATGGTTATTTCTGAAAGAGCACTTGGTCTAGTGAGGGGAGGTACACATGTTAAAACAATAGATCACAAGACAGTGCAACAATTCACAAGCCCATGTGTTTCAGAGTCAATGAAGAATTGAAATTAGGACTCCTGTAGACACTGTAGTTAGCTTAGTTGAGTCTCAATTTCCCTGTCAATACAAAGACACAGTTGAAGTAAGTAAGATCTAAGGTTTCCTCCCATTTAAAAAAATCAAATGATTCTGTGGTCATCATCCTCAATAGTTTCCCCACGATTAAGTGCACTGGATATTGTAATCAGCAAATACAAGCTAGTTAGATCACAGCTCATGTGTGTGATGGGCATGACATGACACTAAATGTGCATAAGCATGTGAAAAGAGAAGCTGAGTAGGAAGTTTCCATCTTGCAGTGGCAGAGGTTATAGTTACTATGCTTGGGAAAGGAACTTCATGTTTCCCTCCTTCACATAAGGGCCCCTGGAACGGGTTGAAATTACTGTACAAGGCTGAAGGCACAACTGGTCCACAATATTAAAGGTAAAGATGAATTTGAATGAGGAAAAAAAATATATAAATTCTAACAAGTCCTTTTCTCTTGATGTAGTCCCTCGATGAACATACTAACCATCAAGGATCAAGATAATATTACAACTCCAAGACAAAGGGGGATCCTCTGTGTGACTAGGGGACAATAGGAAGCAAAACAAGCTCTCTTGACCCTTCAGAACAGAGCCCTCAGAAGTGATGTAATTGTTACAGTGGCTCCGCAACATAGCCCTGTTCTCTTTACCACAAGGAAAGGGGGTTAAGAAGCTCAGCGTTTGGCATTTGGTCAGAAATCTTTCCATCTTATCATCTACTTAGCAATTTTATCACATTTCTGATCGTGATTCCTTTCAGGCCTAACCTGATTTATTTTGTTTCTGGGTAGACAGATCATGCTAATTAGTTCCCAGATTCTTGAAGCCAGATACATTGCATTTAATTCAGATTGGGGAGACTTGTACTGCCCAAGTGCCCTGTCCTACAAACAGCATTTAATTAGACAGTTGCATTTTCCTCCCTGATGCTTCTAAAAGAATTTGAGATATGAATTTGCATGAGGTTTCCTACCCACAGAAGTACATGTTGGGGTAAGCAAAGTGGTTTCCTCTCAAAATAATCAGAGCTAGTATCCATACAACAATGCTTGCAGTGGAATAATCGCAACTGCCGAAATAATCTAGGAATTTTTATGAATAAAGGCCCTAGTGATCTGGGTTCATAAAGGAACTCAGTGGCCTGGATAGTGGCTCTGGGAATTTTCACAGCTGCATTTTTTTCCAAACTCTCCTGTACTGCAGTGTGGGCACATGAGAAAGCAGAAGTAAAAATTCCACCCAAGTAGACCTCTTAACATTCAACAACGAAAACAGATAAAAAAAAAAAAAAAGAAAAAAAAAAAGATTTGACGGGAGGTATGTGAAGGCCTTTTTGTTTAAGAGATTGTGGCATGGCCATTCCCCCTGGGAGGTAGGTGATTTTTCACTTTCCCTCTTTATGTCTCTCTCTGGTGAGCACACACGAAAAAAAAAAAAAAAAAAAAAAAAAGAAAAAAAAAAAGATTTGACGTGATGTATGTGAAGTCGTTTATGCTTTCTAGCTTGGAGAGACCCAGTGATAACTATCAAGTGCCTTAAAAAAATTCTTAAAGGTCTCCTCTGGGGCCAAATATTGTCTTGTAATTTGTCACTCACGCATGCAGTACTATGTACCAGCTGGCCACCAGCCATAGCACTTTTTATACCTTCTACATTTGGGGATCGATAAACACAATTATTGTCATCCACAAATAAACAATCAAGATTCCCACAGGGATGATAAGAGAATTTAAGCTCCTAATTCAGTACAATAGGAAAGCTTAAATTAATGCAGCAGAATAATGAGTTGTGCAGGGGAAAATAAAGGCAGGAGTGTTAAGAGGAAGCAAACAATCCTTTGTTTCTACTGGTCAGGCTC